GGGGGGTTTATCAAGAGGGCCAGAGTGAGGGGTCAGCACTGGGGGGTCTATCAAGAGGGCCAGAGTGAGGGGTCAGCACTGGGGGGTCACTAGGGTAAATTTATAAAAATTACACTTAATTGCACTAGTGTTCAGTAGGTTGTATGGTAAGAGTATGTGGGTGGGCAGCATCTTTGTTAAGAGGCTGACGAATGCACAGGTAGTGAGATCAAGAGAAAATGTGGCCAATACTGTGTGGTAAGTATAGTATGAATAGTGTAAATACTGAGTATTTAGCATGGTTAGCAGATTTGAGACTATGACTAAATGTAGGAGAAGGGGAGAGTGACTATTAGCTAAGCGTGGAGTCACGGATGCAGGGTTCATCAGAGTTTAGGTTTGCCTTTGCCATAGTTGTCATTTGATTCTGTATCTCTGTCTGTACACAGTTCTATAGTTTGTAGGGCTCAGTTCTGTAAGTTTTATTGGGTGAGTTATCTTTATCCTGAGTACAGTACGTAAAAGTTTTGAGGACAGATTTATTGCCTTTTTTATGAAAATGATTTTGTTTTATGCTTTTATTGCAATTGGCTGACAATCATCGAATTTATTTTCTGTCTGTAGATAGCTGTGGCCAGTGTTACCCTTGTACCTCTGCGCCTTCTCTGTATTTTCTTCATTGCCCTCGTCGCTTGGCCATGTGCACTTTTAGGACGGATGTGCTGCCCAATATGTGCAAATTCGGAGCCGATTCCAAGCTGGAAACGGTAAGCACTGGTCATTTTTAGTCAAAAATAGATATGAACTGCCAAGACAGAATAGCAATCATTATCCTCTGGGAGGACGTTCTTTAAAGCTGTACATCTGTTCCATATAAAGAAGCTGACAGGAATTGGCGGGTTGCTATATGCAGTTTGCAGTCCCTTGTGTCTGGGGTATAAATGGGAGATTGTGTTAAGATAAAAGATTAGCCACGATTGTATAAAGTGGAGCAGGCTCAAGTGGCTTTGTGGTCTACTCCAGCTCTTGTTTATTGAGCCTCGTTTGTATCTAGTGTGTAACAATAACTGAGCTCTGCATGTTCTTCTAACATACAGGGCCTAATAAAAGTTTGCTTGGTCGTTTGCTAATCTCTGGACGCTTTGCAATTTGCCTTTCAGGCTGTTGTTAATGATATAGTTGCAGAGTTCCTCTCTGAGGGATCACACCGCTTGCCTTTAGTCTACTTGAGTTTCTTTGGGACTTAAAGCACTGTTGCATTCTTATTTTTCAAGTTAATCGGTAGCCAAATCTGTGTTGGCAACAATGGGGAAAAAAAAATGCAAGGGACTCCTGTGGTGTATTTGTCTTGTCTTCATTGGGCCAGAAGGTCTGGGTTCAAGTCCCAGCTCTCGTAGAGGTGTGCCATAATATGCCCAAACAGGGTTAATTTTAAAAAAGCAATGAATTGTCACCCAGATACGTTTAGAACTCTTAAGTATATATTTTGTTGTCTCATTCTCTGAAGGGAGTATCTTACGTTGGCAGTGACAGCGGGATTTCAGCATCTCTTGTGAGTAAATATTTTCCCTCTCAATCTAAATGGAAAATGTCAGTAAACTGAGTGATTGTTTACAGGTTCCACTCTGACACAATGTGTGACTTAGAATAAGGTACCATACATTAAAAGAACAGGAAAGAATTGATTTCAAATGATCTTTTCAAATAAATTAAAATTGGATGTCGTTGATATCAGATCTTTCTGACGAAATGGTTTACTTGCTGCAGGCTTTAGCTATCTAAGTTAATCTAGCTAATGTTGCATATTGAGCTCAGGCTGTTCACTTAATCAACCTTGTCCCTGTCAACCATGCTATGGTGCTATGTTGTGCTCTGTAATGCATTGCCAATTGTGCGTCTTTATGTCCTATTCTATTTTTATTTCTGTAGAGGTTGAACTCAAGTTGTATCTGTAGAGCTTTACTTTGCAATTTCAGGGAATTACAGAGGTAGGATCCAGGGTACTGAGAAACATTAGCATCAGTTGTAAACTGGTCTGTACTCTAGACATGTTACAGAGTGGCTTTCTCTGCCACTTTATTTTCTCACTTTTAGAGAACAAGCTCTTCCCCTTTAGCTGTTGCCAATTTCTGCATCAGCAGGAAGTTAAGTTCTGATGCAATCGTTTTGCCCAATTTTGGATTTCTTGCATCTAGTCTTCTAAATCCTCAATGAAGGAAGAAGGAATTTTACATTTTGTAGTTTCTGAATCACTTGTAAAAATGAAGGTGGAGGTGTGGGGTTGGGAATGACAGTAGTCCTGACCATGGTTGTAGGTAACTCTCTTCTTTCTTATCACCTGATTTCGTTAATACTTTGTAACCCCACAGCTAAATTGCTGTCAACATATTTCAGCAAGCATCTAGTAAGGATTTACTTATTGCTAGTCATTTATTTTCGGATTTTGTTGTAAATCCAGAGTAACATGAAGCAGATAACTTTCCTTGTCTCTTTCCTCCTCTCAACACCCCCCACTCACCACACATGCACCCACCCATCTGCGTTTGAACACCCCCACCACTGCACTGCTTCTCTGCACCCCTATCCCTTCACCCTATGTATGTATAGATATTTTCTAATCAGCTTGTTCAGAGATGTTATGACACACTTCTGGAGCCGGTGAGACTTCTACTTGAGTCTCCTGACTCAGTGGTAGTGGCTGTCCTGCTGTGCTACAAGAGCTATTCCTATGAATGCATATTAATGCTTTGTTAATTGTCTTAATTACAAACAGGAAGAGAATATTTCAATGAATATTTGCTTGGTATTGTCCAAGATTTAATTTAGTGTCCTACAAAGAATAATAGGTTACATAAAACCTAAAGAACTGTGGATGCTGGGAGTCAGAAACGAAAACAAACTGCTGGGAAAACTCAGCAGGTCTGGCAGCTTCTGTGGAGAGAAAGCAGTTACTGTTTCGAACCTAGTGACCTTTCAGAAATTATTGTAGCTAGGAAAAGGTACTTTCCACAGATGCTACCATAATAGATTGCATGTTGTTTAGACTTGCAAACTGGATTCTAACAATTGTCAACATCCTCGTGCATAAAACTAGAGCTCCTAACAAAATCATTTTATGATGGGTTTATCCCAGAACACATCTTGACGTGTGAAGATTTCACGTGAGCTAATCTGTTTTCCTCGAATGAGATTTCCAATATAAATGAGTATTTTCTTTCATGTTTATTCCACCCCTCCTACTCTCCCTTCAAGCTTTTGTTAAGAACTGCAAATGAAAAGTTATTAGTACAAGGAATAGTTTGCATTGGCTGAGGCTATAGTGGTGCATTATATAATTTTGCTGGGATTAACTTAATTTGGTTGTGAAAAACACATGAAGGCATTGATAAATACGTTCATAATGTAATAACATTTACCTTATACACCACAACAGAAACATATGTAACCTGTATCGTAATCTAGATCATAGCAGCAGTGAAGTAGTAAAACAGGGGAGGATGCCACTCCGGGATATAATAAATATAGTTTACTTACACCATGAGGTCTAAAAATTCTGCACACTTACTCCAGCAGAGGCACACAGACAAGGATTCAACTAAGAACACGTTACATAAAACATTTATTGGATTTGCTTCATCAAAATATTTTGGGTGAGACAGCAACTATTTAATACAGTTTAAAAAAAACTTGTAAAAATGCAGTTAGATATTTTTGGATGCATTAGATTTAAATCTGAATGGCAAAGGCAATATTAGGTAGATAGCCAAAAATTTTGGTCAGTCAGGTAGATTTTAAGTAGCATTAAAGGAGGGAATTTGAGAATTTAGGACCTAAGTAGTTCAAAGCAGGGCCACCAGCTGTGGAACAATTAAATCAGGAGGATGCTGGAAGCCAAAATTAGCATAACGTCCTTAAAGGACTATCTTGATTACCTGCCAAAACCTGTACACTAGCTGTTTGTGAATCATATGCTCAAACATCTAATTCACTGTGCTGCAGTCATTCACTATTTAAGTAATGCTCTGCTTTTTCATTCTTGCCAAAGTGAACTTCACATTTTCTCACATTATGCTCCATCTCAGATTTTTTTTGCTATTCATTCAATCTATCTATCCATCTGCACCTTCCTCCTGTCTTTGCAATATATCTTGGTCTCATCTGTGAATTTAGTTAACCGTGCTTTGCTCCCCTCATCTGAGTCATTGATGTAAATTGTAAAAGATTGAGGGTATAGCACAGAATCTGGGCACCGTTAAGGATGTGGAATTGGTGGTAAATGTTCCTATTCTTGTGCACTGATTTACATATGGTGACCTTACTCCAAATGTTCCTAGAAAATAATTTGAGTATGTTGAAACAATGACACTTAAAATTTTTGGATACAAATTTGTTGGAACCTGCTCCTATTGAATTTATTTGACACCTTGGCAAGATTTGATTTCTTCTACAATTTGGCATGAGATCACTTTCTTAATTTTCCTCAGTGTTTTTTCAGATATGTAGCTCAATTCTTGTAAATGGAGGTGTGATATGCCAAGACGCATTCCCATCTTTAACTAGTGAATGGAAATGTAAAGTGATATGCTCATTTTAGCTGCTGTTTCTTTTGCAAATGTACTCTAGTGTTTACTATATCCAGAACCTTTGTTTTGATTGCACTAATGGTACATTACTGTACTGTGAACAGTGTGGTTTTTAAAAAGGTAGAGTTATATCCAAGGGAGACTCCAAAAACAGTCTATTGAAAAATGAAAGGTGTTTGATATTTTAATTGTCAATGGACTGTGCAGAATCAATTCATTTTGATGTCTTGTTCCTCAGCCCACAGAAATTCTGTTTCGATACGCATTTTTTGGAGTTTCTTATTTTAAAAAGCCATGTCTTAATGGGCACCATTTAGGTTGATGGTCATTATTACGGTCTGACAATTTGGTGTTGGCTAGAAACGGATCAGAGCAGATTACGGAATGCCAAGTGAGATTTATTTATTTAACCCTTGAGAAATTGATGTCTCAGAAATTAAGAATAACTGTTAGTGCAAAATTAAATTAGGTTAGTGTAAAAGGATAATAATGTTATACATTGTAGCACAATGTTTAGTGTTAAAGAAGCATTTGTTTCAGAAGTACTCCACTGTAAGTGCAGCATCACCAGTCCGCCTACTTTTTCAGCAACTTATTTTTAATTACGAATGTACTTTTTAATTTCACTAACTTCTATATTCTGTGTCTGTTCTAAAGAAAGTTGCTGCACAAATTTTAGGTTACTTAAAAATATTTTGGAATTGATCAAGAGGTTTTATCAGGGCTTTTAATCTGCGCTGCATCTGTTTTCTTGCTAAATATTTAGCACCACAAAATTTTATTCATTACTTTTGAGTTGAATTCATTAACCCAAACTAACACTTCTTCAAGCTGTTGCAAACATGTCAAATTTAAGAATGCAATTTCATGGATTGTAGAAATATGACTCGACTGCATTATTTTCTTTTGAGAGACTGATCTGTGCTTAGTTGTCCCAACTAATACCCTGGAAATTAACAAAAATGAACATCTGTTTAATTGTTAAATTCTTTATATTGAATTGTACGATTAAGAAGTTATAAAATCATTTAGAGCATCCTTTTAAAAAAAAACCCTTCAGGCTTCTAGTGAAAGAAGTGTAGTTCAATATTTACCAACTAGTTGCAACAGATGGTTACAGAACTATTCTGTTAAGCATATTCATTGCACTAAGGCTGATGGATTGGAAGGTTTTATTTAGCTGTGTGTACGTAATTTGGGCAAGGCAATAAATACGTAATCAATCATTTGTTCCTCTTTTCATCCATACTTGTAAGCAATTGACTTTAAAATACACTGACAACTTTCTGGAACACTGCAATGGGCAGTGGCACCATATATTTATGCAGCACTTCGAACAAAACAAATTGGTCCAAAGCACTCCAAGAACATTGTAAATCTAAAATATATACTGAGGGTGGATGGCCAGAAACTTGGGTCAGAGAAGCAGGTTTTGAAGTGGGGCACAATGTTTCCAGCAATTAACCATTATTAACCAAGGAAGTTGAGCATAGAATGAATTGAAAGAAAAAAATTCAATGTTCCAAAGATTAATTTTGAATCAAAGGACTGGTAATGTTTGAAATACAAAAAAAAAATGAGGGAGAAACTACACTTTGAGACTAGTTAGCAAGTAATATCAAAATAGACAGTAAGACCTTTAAAAAAAAACAAAGGAACAGAAGTCAAAGTGAACATAGGCCCTTTAGAGAGTGAAACTGAGGAAATAATGGAGAACCAGAAAATGGCAGAGGAGGCGAATAAATATTTTCTATCATTCTTGACAGTAGAAGTCATCGAATCAAGGGGCAAAAGGTGAAGAGGAAATAAATATAATAACAATTAATCACTAGAGAAAAAGTACTGGGGAAATTAATGGGACTAAAGACCAATAAGGCCTCTGGACCTGTTAGATTGCGTTCTAGGATATTGATGGAAATAGCTACAGAGGTATTGGATACACTAGCAATAATATTCCAAGAATCCTTAGATCCTGAAAGTCCCAGAGTGTTAGAAAACTACAACCGTAGAACACATTCAAAAAGGGAGGGAGACCAAAAGCAGGTAACTATATCGGCCAGTTAGCTTGATGTCTGTTCCTGGGGAAATGCTAGAATCTATTATAAAGGATGTAAAAGCAGAGGATTTAGCAATGGATAATATTAAGCAGAATCAGCATGGCTTCATGAAGGGGAAATCATGCCTGATAAATCTGTTCAAATTGTTTTGTAGGTAACAAGCAGAATACATAAAATGGTACCTTTTTAGATTTTGGATTTCCAAAAGGAGTTTGAGTAAAGTGCTCCACATAAGTTTACTTTGATAAGACGAGTCCATGGTGTTGAAGGAAGTATATCAGCATGGATAGAGGATTAGCTAACTAATATCAGACAAATTTGGGACAAGGGTGGTATTTTTAGGATGGCAATCTGTAATTAGTGGAGTACAATAAGAATTTGTACTGGGACCACAATTTATTAACAATATATTTGAATAACTTGGATGAGAATAAATATCTGAGGGTTGTTGGTCTGCAGTTGAGGAAAATTGAGGCCATAGAAAGAAAACGTTGAAGCATAGCAGCAGAAGTTAGTTCTTCAATCTGTCGACTCTACTCTGCCATTCAACATGATCATAGCTTATCCTCTATCTCAACACCGTACTGCCACTCTCCTCCTGCCCTTTGACACCTTTAACTGACTATTTTCTATCAATCTGTCAATTTCTTTCTTAAAAATATTCAGTGACATCACCTCCACAGCTTCACCACCTTCTGAGTGAGAGTTTCTCACCGTCTTGGTCAGAAATAGCCCACCACATATTCTGAGAAAATGGCAGCTTAGTTCTGGACCCCAGGACTGGAGGGAGATCTTTTGGTTTGTCAGAATTTTATACATTTCAGTTTTCTGCTCCTGTTCAAATCCTCTTAAAGTGAATGCCAACCTACTGTCTGTTTTCCTGATTTGAAATGGGAGGAAGAATTTTAAAACTGAGCTGTTATTTTACTGAGTGCCAGTGTAGGCCAGCAGGCACAGGGCTGGTGGGTGAACAAGACTTGGTGCAACTAAGAACATGGGCAGTAGCATTTTGGGTAACCTCAAATTTTAGAGAATATGGGAAGCTATCCTGATATGGGTTGGGTAATCTAAGTCTAATGGTAAGAAAGCCACGGATGAGGATTTCAGCTGTCAATAACCTGAGGCAGGCGTTAATAGAGGCAAAAATAGGCAGATCTTCTCATTGGGAAGTAACTTCAAAAATTCCTGGGATAGCGACTTAGTGTGCTGCACTCACACCATGCTGCATCAGGAAACTCCATGACTGGCTCAGCTAACATAACTCTGCAGACATGACTGCCCTGAAATACTCTTATTAAGTAAGCCATTTGTTGAATGAAAATCTAGTAAAAATGTTTTCCAAGCACTGTTTTCATTGATCAGAGAAGGAACTGAGTTTATATTCCCGATAGGAGTCCTTCACCAGAACTGAGGGGAAAATGTAATTAAACGTCTCCCAGGACTGACCTAAACAGAGTTTGGAAAGGAGAGCTGTGTCTAAAGGTTACAAGCCAAATATACCAACTATTGGTACAAAGGAAACAGAAGACTACGACTATGCTCAGTTTAAAAGAATTACAGTGGTATGGGAAGAAGCAATACTACTTTTGTGCATACTGTTCACAATAGCTGTGAATAGCAATATTCTCCGAATGTAAGGATAGTAAATGAGATTATTGTAAAAGCATCAGTACCTCCAGAAGATGTGTATCTTGATGGGATCACAGTGTAGATGATAGTTGTAGGGAATGCAGAGGTGCATGTGTTGAAAGTTTTAAAAATATGGGATACTGTTGACCTTGTGAAGGTGACGGAGAAAATGACTGCAATGACCACAGTTGAAAAAAAGTCACATCTGAGTAAAAAGGGAGATGTTTCAGACTTCTGGTGTGGAACATTACGTTGAGAGCAGATACTGAAAGAAGGAATTGAACTATTGCAAAAATAAAGGTGAAAGTATTCCTAGAATCTGGAATTAACCTGTTAAATATCTGTGGAAACGTGATTGTCCAAGATGTAGTCTGAAAAGCAAGTGTTCAACATATACAATTTTAAGGCAAGTGACTAATCAAAGGGCTTGTGTAGTCACTTCTCCAGATTGCTGGGGGGTGTCATTTAGTATTTAAGTCCATATTTGCTGTGGCCTATAAGGAGTCCTTGCTTTGGTAGACATCTGCAAAATTGTGTGCTAATGGGTTGTATCAGGGTGTTTGAGGAGCTTACATGGAGCATATTTAAAGAATTCAGTGCAAAACCTCTCAAGCTGCTGATGAAGATAGTTTTCACAGCAGAACACTAAGACCCATCCACAGTTAAAACCACAGAACTTGAAGCCTGTCATTTCCAAACCATGGCTATCAAATGTCAAGGACAAATTAATCAATAAGAAACAAAATTACAAATGTTCGAGCTGTCTAGCTTTTGCGTGCTGGACACTTAAGGATTGATAACCAGGTGCTCCCAGGAGCAAAAGTTAAATACTGATAGGACCATTTAGCAACAACAGTTGCAGTAGGTAGATGCAAATGTATTCATGTGACCAAAGTCTAAAGACGTAGCTGATATGTTTAATAGCCTATAAATAAATGCTCAAAATGAAAAAGTAAGTGATTTACACTATACAAAGCCCTCCAAACCAGGCACATAAACATCCAATAAAAGGGGAATATAGCTGACATGTTACCTTTGTCAATTAGACTTGCATGAGCAGTGTGCTTTGTGCTTTGCAGGGCATTAACATATAATTGGTAATGCAGAATGACTGTGGTTTAAATTTTAACATCTTCGTTTAAAAATTCCATTTGCATGAATATTGTGGTATAGGTGCTCCCTTCCTGAGGCGCGATCTTATCATGCTGTACTACTCTGTGATACAGTCCTCAAGCGCCGGGCTATTGGTCTTTTTCAAAAGTAACTAAAATCTCATTTTGAAATTCCTAGCACCTAATTCCGTCAGCTACCTCTACTGAACAGGTGGTGCATACAACTACTTATGTATCTGAAATCAAGTATTTTGAAATTCGACTCACAATGTTAGAATATTCCCTTGAGACAAATTTTGATATTTTCCTTGTCATTATTATAATTTAAGGTTATTTAAGATCATCTCTTGGGTACCAATTTTGCAAAGGAAGCATGTACACAAATCTTCAATCTGTATGGCTTTAATGAGTTTAGTTTAAAAATTATTTTCTGACCGGAAGCAGAAGCTGGAAGGGCTTTTTATTTTCTCCCTGTTCTGAGCAAACTAAGTTACGTTTGTTTTCATAGTCTAAGTTGAAGGAAGTGCTAAGTTTTCATATCAATGAATTTCACTTACAGCCGTGCTTCACAGTTTGTGTTGAAATCCTTGGGTCGTGCATTTTTCTTCTGTATGGGCTTCATGCAAATTAAGGTGAAAGGGAAAAAGGCCGACACAACAGAGGCTCCTATTCTTGTCGTTGCTCCTCACTCAAGCTTCTTTGATGCAGCTGTGAATATTGTTGCTGAGATACCATCAACTGTCTCAAGAGCTGAGAATGCTGACATTCCGTTGTTTGGATGTGAGTTTTTTAAAGAATTTATTATTGGTTCTAATGCACTGTGTGTGTTACGGTCTCATAAACTGTTACTAAATGCTTAGCTTGAAATCTTTGCCTCAGTTATTAGAATGTGAAAACGAGATTGTTAAAATGTTAACATTTTCTAAGTAGTTTCTAAGTAATATCTATGTAAATCATAATATAAGCACATAGCTTCAAGAGATATACATTTTCCTTTCTTGATCCATTTCAAGCGTTTCACTGCTTGAAAGACAGTGGAAAAGGATTTGCAAATTAAAGTAGTGGAAATTGTGATCATAAGCAGTAACATAATGCTCATGAGGCCCATTTAATAACTGTGAATTCATATAAAGCTAATTAACCTCACAAAGGAGATCTGTATCACCCAGCAATGCTATGATATTTTTGCATGTAACTACCAGACACACCAGTGGAGCTATGATATACATTTGTTTCTTTCGATTCCATCCTCCACCACTGACACAACAATTAACAATTTTGTTTTGCCACTCTCAGTAAAGAGAATTGCATTTTAAATTTTTTTTTATTTGAAGGAACTAATAGTCACTCAAGATGATAAAGGGTTGGTAATCCGGTATGTAGTTGGAGTGCCAAAAGTAAGAGAGGGATTTGGTTCTTCAACTTTGTGATCAACTGTGCCAGCAGGTGAGTTTTGGCTGAGAACAAAGACTGATCTGGAGGCATGGCTGGTTTGTTTGCATCTTAGCCTTCAATAAGGACTGCAACTGTTCAAGAAGGCAGCTTACCACCACCTTCTCCAAGACAATGTGGGTTGCCAATAAATGTTTGTTTAGCCAGTGAAGTGTGCATCCCATGAACAAGTTTAAAAGAAACGACCTTGTCTAAGACAAATTGCAATAACTCCAGGACATCTTTGCTTATTTTTTTCCCTCCATAATGTTGTCCTTTTTGCTGTAATGTGATTGTGTAGACACTAATCACTGTCTGATAACAAGCTTTTGATACCCTTCCTTTTTATTTGGCTAAGTGACTATTCTATGCACTGCTGTGAAGCTGTTTGGACCTTTGTTTTTTCAACGTTATCACGTCCCTGTTAACTGAAAATGCACATATTAAAATACCGGTGAGATTAGTAATTCAATTGAATTTGATTCCTTATTCAACATCAATTACTGGATGCACAAAAATTTTCTTCAGTTTACTATTGCAAAGATAGAAACTATTGTTTTCAGTTCCCGATCTAAAATCCTTTGCTTAGCATTTTACCCCATTCCCCTCTCTGACAACAGTCTGACACTAAACTAGTTTGTATGTGATCAGTGATATTTAACCCTGTAATATGCGTCGGACCACAGTTGCCTACTTCTACCAGCTTGCATGTCCTAACTTGGCCACGACTGATAAAATTCTTGTTCATGCTTTTGTTATCTCTGGACTTGACTATTCCATTCACTTTAGTTGATCTGACACGTTTTACCCTGTTAATTTGAGAGTAGCCAAAACTCTGCTACTCCTATATCTTAACTCAAATCAACTCCATTCATCTGTCACTCCTGACTTGGGTTGACTACTATTCAATTAACATTTCAGTTTTTAAATTTTCATTCTTGATTTCATATCATTCCATGGCCTTATTCCTGCCTATCGCTATAATCTCATGCAGATTCCTGCCCCTCCATTAAATCTTCCTTTGCAAAATTCTGGCCTGTTAAACATCTCTGTTAAGCGTTCCACTCCATGTCTTCAAATCTTGGGATCCTAACTTCTAATTCCCTTCGTACACCACACTGCCATGCTTTCCTCATTAATGATACTCCTTAAACTACCTTTTCAATCAAACATTTGAGCACCTGACCTAAAAATTGTTATGCATGGCTTAATGTCATAATTAATGTAAATGATTGGCATGCATTCCCAATTACCAGCTATAAATGATGACTGGTGGTGGAAGTGAAGACAAAATCAGATTTGTTCATTAAAAGTCTTTTCAAAAGAAAAGTTTGGTACATTGTTGGACTGGCCCAGAACAAGCTTTATTCTGCACCAATCTGGTGATATTCCCAACCAGAACTGCTTAATTGTTGAAGTGACTGTTCAAAGTGGAAACTTGTTCCTTACCAAATTTTAAAAAAAAACTTGAGATGAAGGAGTAAAATTTAAGTCTTTGTGGAAGAACTCAACTGGAACCACTGAAAACTTAAGTAGCCTGATGGAGGCAGAGCAGAAAATACTGGGTGAAACCTTTCATAAAAATCACATTGTAACACGGGGATTGAATAAAACTATTACAGGTAAAATTATATCAATGCCTTATTAACTGAGGTTTTTGGTTTGAATAGGTGAACTTTAATTTGCACTGCTGCCTTGCATTAACTGTGTTCTTTAATCCATTTTTTCCAGGTAATGTGACTGATTTAAATTAGTGTAATGGAAAAAAAATTGTGAAGTCTTTTTTTTTTGTATTTTAGTATTACTGCAATGTTCTCAACCTGTGTTGGTATCACGCCATGAAACAAATTCTCGAAGGAAAACTGTTGAAGAGATTACAAAGCGTGCACAATCCAGAGGAAAATGGCCTCAGGTATTTTAAACACGTAACTAAATATGATTGTTTAAGCTCTGGCAGTTTTGTTTTAGACCTTGGTTCATTTTTAAGTTTGCATTTTTGAAATGCTATTCTTTCTTTTTCAAGCTGATGATTTTTCCAGAAGGTACTTGTACAAATCGTACTTGCCTCATCACTTTTAAATCAGGTGAGCTCGTTGTTCTGTCAAATTCTCATGCATGTATACATTTTATACAAAAGCTTTAAAATTTGAAGGGTAATAGAGGGTTCAATGATTCCAACTAAGAATATCCTGTTCACTTAGTAGAGAGAGTTAAAACTACAAAGGAGCAATTGATTGAATTTGAATTTTTACTGCTTTTGCCATTTTGATCTTTTTTAATATAACTTGAGCAAATTAGTCAAAAGATCTACTTTATAAAGATATCAAACTTCATTCATTTTCACGTTTAAAATATGTGCTGAGAATTCATTTTCTTTCTAAGCAAATGTAATTCACAAATAATCAAATTATTTTCTGGTAGATTTCTGATGCAGTCAATGATCTGTTACTAAGTAATCGGAAAAGATTTTACTTATGGGCAGATATTAATTGTTACTCTCCGGAAACTGCTTTTTGTGGCAGGTTAATAGAGAGGGGTAGGATAAACTTAACAAATGCCAAAAGGTCCAAATATTTTATCTGTTTTCAAAGATCGCGTTCATGTGTTGCCATATGTTGCTGTATTATTCAATCTTTGGCCTCTCCAGTCGTCATATTTAATATTTTCACAATTTTAAATCAAGAATTATTAAGTTTCAATGTTTCATAGCTTCAAAAAATTATTAGAATTTTAACTTTGTGATGTTTGCAGGTGCTTTTATTCCTGGAGTTCCTGTTCAGCCAGTAATTATTCGATACCCAAATAGACTGGTGAGTCTGTGTATAATTTCATTTTATTTTATCTTGCATCTCTTCTGATCCCTAGACCTCTGGAACCAATGATTTAGGAGATGGATACAACTGTTACTTTTTGTGGTAGTCCATATCAGAGTGTAACTATTTAAAACAAAAACGAATGAGTCTGATTCTTTCACCAGACCTAATGCAGTCTGTACTGAATGAAATTGTGCCAACTTGCTCAGTCTCTCAAGTTAAAGAGAATAGTTAGCTTCCCCTGAGTTGCTTGAGGCAATTTCTCAAAAAGACCAAGATTTTAATTCATACATTTCATGTCAGATTTTCAATGAGCATGTCTTAAGAAAGCAGTTGATATAAGATTGATGTTCTGAGTTGTTTATTATATCTTAGAAGTGTTAGTTTATTTGACTTGTATAAATATCAAAGCATTAAAAATAATAGATTGTAATAAATATTACAATTTTAGTTAATCCGAATAGAACATATGGAATATCAGCTAGGTCACAAGATGTGACTGTAAAAAAAAATGACAGATTACAGTAAAAATATCAATGTGGCTGTGATGAATATGAACAGACCATAACTTGAAGTCAAAGTAATATAATTATAAATGCACAACAGATTGTCAGCCATGAACCAGATGGTTTCAGGCATTATTTAAAGTGTTACTTTGTCTAAAGACACCCAAGCGTGTTTACTTATGGATGTTGGAGAGATTTAGAGCTTGGACAGTTTTCGACATTGCTGCATGAATGTCAGTATTGTCATTGAATGGGAATAACTGATTCCTTCTCAAAGAGAACTTCTTCATTACTTCTGTGAGGAATACTTAAATGCTTGTAAAGAGCTACTCTCTGTATAACTTCTGCACATTTTATAGCAAGCTGTAAATTATTCTTAGATTTTCCTCACCAAGCTTCTCATTTGGTGAAAACTGATTTCAATATGTGATTCCATTAATTGTGATTAGCATTCACAAATGTTTATTATTTGACAAGGATTAAATTGTAAATGGTTAAACTAATTACTAAAAATATTTTCCAACAGGACACTGTTACATGGACTTGGCAAGGACCTAATGCGTAAGTTTTGTACTGTAGTTTATAATTTAGAAATAAGTTGAATAATGACTGATAATAGAGAAACCAGCTTGAAGGTTTATGTCAAGTGCTTAATTCTCTTTTAAAACCTGAGTAAAATTAGAGGAGCATGTAAAATACCTCTTTACATAATAAATTAAATAGTTGAAGATGAATGAAATTTGGAAGAAGTTTTAATAGGGGAAGAAGCTGAGCAAAAACTCAATGCAATGGTGTTTCCCCAAGGAACAAAATGTCTTGCCAAATTGTTAGAAAGCTGCTTGGCCATTCAGTTTTGTTTTTAATGACTATGGTACCATTTTCAAGCATAAAGTCTCCTGGCACTAAGCAGGGATGGAAAGTGCTTTCCTATTTTGGAGTCAACTTGCATTGAAAGCTGTTGTTGGACAGCTCTTAAAGTAAAATATGATTATTCATAGAGCTTATATTCCTGTAGTTTCATTTCTGTCTCAGTTAATATTCATAATCAAGCTTCTCTTGTCTAGTTTATCAAACATTTGAGTCGTCATGTCAGAGCATATTATGTCTTTTGTTTTCTTATACATCTTCCAAAAATAGAACAAGCTAAGAAAATCTTTTTTTCAGTTTCATTCATTGCATTTTCCTTTTTCCCCATATTTTCTTCCTTTTATGGTGTGCTGTTACCTGACAGGGTAACTAGCCCTGTGTCAGTCTTCAATCACTATTTAGATATCATGTTTTAATGCTGATTTATTATTTAATTTTGTATTTCCTCTGGAAACTTTGGTGAAATCATGAAACTATCATGTATTTGGACCTTTGTTAATCACAAAAAGTACTCAAAAGCTGCTGTACGTATGCAAATATTTTGAGTATTTGAAGTGACCACAGTAGAATGGCTGTTAGAAATTTCTTCAGGCCCTGTGAGTTTGAACCAACAAATTTGTGGAGTTTTATCCCTGTGCCCTTTAGTAGGCACATCTCCACTGATGGGCTGGATCAGAGCCCGTTACAATTGAGGGATCAGATGGTGGATCTCATGGAAGATCTGAGGTAGCTGCATTAATAAATGGAAGAATAGGGAATTAGTGTGAATTAACAAGCAGAAGCTTGGACAAAATAGGAGTTAAACAAGACTTTTGCATGAATTAGAATTTGTAGAAGGCTGATAATGGGGCCAGCATGGAGAGTGCTGTTGGCAATTCTTCAGAGACCCACACCCTTGACAGATCATTGACTTGAAGTTGCAACCAATCTCTAAATTCCCTTCCTTTGAGATCTTTGAAGATGTTATCAACTCCTTGAATCAATGCTCACTTCACTGAAGGTTTCTATTTCAAATCCACCTATTGTGATCCCTTTGGACACTGATAACTTGAAATAGATTTTAATTGCCAACTTGGAAGTCTTGTTCAGTTCCTTTTAACGTCTTAAAATTTCTACTGTGACAATCAGCATCAACTAAACATTACTTAAGTAACTAATACTCTAAACTACTAAAGAGGTACATTTAGTTAATGTCCTAACACCACTGATAACCCACAATATATGTATATACTTGACAGCGTGCTTTCCACAGAATTACCACTTCAATCGGAGATAGTCCAAAATAACTTCAAGATTCCAATGGGTTCACATTTTTCTAGGTTCAGAGTCATAACGCCACTTGATTGCTAAAGTTCCTCTCCTTCAGGCTCATAATAGTTCTCGAGCTGACTTTCAGCACAAGACCAACTCCTTGTTCTGCTGGTTTCACCAAGACAAATCTTCCAGAGATTTTAGTTAGCCACAAGATACATCTCTTGGATCATAGACTGTCCTTCCATCATTTTCTGCTTGGTAGAATGCCAAGGAGCTGCTGTCTTCTCTCCTAGCTGCACCAGCGAGCAAACTCTCCTGGCTCCATAATCAGTATTTGGTAGCCATGTTTATGAATTCCTTGGAATATTTTTGTATCAAGTGTGTTGTGTAAGTTAGTATTGATGCCTTCCCATTTTTAAATAAGTTTTCTGCCTGTTTTTCTTGCTGATTTAAAACATGAAAACTATGTACATTTTTTAAATGATTCCTAGGATGTAGGTATCACTGGATAAGCCAACATTTTATTGTTCATCCCTAGTATCTCCTTCAGAAGCTGGTGGTAAGCTGCCTGTTGAACTGTTGAAGTAAATTTTCTGTGGATAAGCTCTCAATGCTATTAGGGAAGGAATTCCATGATTTTGAGGCAGCAATATATATCCAAGTCAGGATGATGACTGGCTTGAAGGGGAACTTGCAGGTGTTGGTGTTCCCATGTATCTGTTGCTGTTGTCTTTCTAGATGTTACTGGTTATTGATTTAGGAGGTGCTGTCTAAGGAGCTTTGGTTAAATTCTGCAGTACTGATACGGGTACTGATATGGCTAGCCCAGTTCAGTTTCTGGTCAGTGGTAACCTCCAGAATGTTAGTGAGGCATTCAATGATCGCAGTGTCATTGAATGTCAAGCTGTAATTTTTAAATTTTTTCCCATTGGAGATGGCCATTGCCAAGCATTTGTGTGGCACAAATATTACTTGCCACTTTTCAGCTCAAACCTGTGTATTGTACAGACGTTGCTGCAATTAGATGTGGACTGCTTCAGTCTCTGAGAATTGATGAATAGTGCTGAATGTTGGGTAATCATTGGCAAACGTCATCACTTCTGACCTTTTGTAATGGAGGGAAGTCATTAGTGAGGCAAATGAAGTATCCCACGGGCCTAGGATACTGCCTCCTGCAGAGATGTTGTGGAGCTGAGATATCTGAACTCTCAGCCACGACCATCTTCCTTTGTACCAGGTATGACTCCAACCAGCAGAGAGATTCCCCTAATTTCCATTGACTTGTTTTTTCAGGGCTCCTTGAAGCTGCACCCAGACACGTCTGGCCTTGATGTCAGGGCCAGTCTCTCTTGCATCTGGCACTTTTTTTTCCATATTTGGATCTTTATTGAGATCAGGAGTTGATTAACACGAGTGGAACCCAAACTATGCAATAGTGAGCAGGTTATTGCTAAGCAAGTATGGCTTGATAGCACTGTTAGTGACACTTATCCATCACTTCACTGATGATCGAGTGTGGACTAGGTGGTAACTGGCCTGTTGGAGTTGTCCTTACATTGTGTTTGGGATATCCCTGGGCAGCAGTTTTCCATATTGTCTGATAAGTACCATTATGCAACTAGTACTGGAGCAGCTTGGCGAGGGACATGGAAAGTTCTGGAGCACATATCTTCGGGCTTGCAGGAGTCTTGTCATAACCCATAGCCTTTGCAGTATCCAGCGTAACTAACTGTGTCTTGATACCATGTGGAGTAAATTAATTTGGCTGAAAATGTGATGTCTGTGATGCTAGGAACATCAGCATGAGGCCAAGATGGATCGTTCATTCAGCACTTTTGATTGAAGATTGTTGCGAGTGCTTCAACCTTGTTTTGCACTGTTGAGAAATGGGCTATTTGTGGAGCCTCCTGCCGCTCCACTGAGATGTCTAATTGTCCACCACCTTTCGCATTGGATGTGGCAGAACTGCAGACCTTAGGTTTGATTCATGTGTTCCGGATTCACTTGCTGCATATGCTCTTTGGCATACAGGTAGTCCTGTTTCGTAGCTTCAAGTTGATATCTCATTTTTAGGCCTGGTCAGCTCTTGATGTGCTCTCCTGCACTCTATTGAACCAGAGTTAATCCCCTGGCTTGATGGTAATGGTAGAATGGAGGATATGCTGAACCATGAGGTGCACATTGTTTAGGAGTACAATTCTGCTGCTGTAGGTGACCCACAGTGTCTCATGAATGCCCAGCCTTGTTTGCTGAATATACTGAAGTCTATATCATTTAACATGGTGATTGTACCACACAAGGCAATAACAGGTCTTCTCAATGTGAAGATGAGACTTCATTTCCGCAAGGGCTGTGTGTTGGTCACTCCTACTGAAACAGTCATGGACAGCTGCATCCGTGGCAGGCTCTATCTGCATCCTGTGGTTATTATTGACTGGAAACTGAACTGAACTAGTCATACAAGTCTGATGGCCACAAGAGCAGGTCAGAGGCTAGAAATCCTGCAAATGATTAACTAACCTCCTGATTCCACAGAGCCTGTCCAGCATCTACGAGGCATAATTCAGGAGTGTGATGAAATACCACCACCACTACCCTCCCCAACAGAACTCAAGAAATTTAACATGGTCAAGGGCAAGGCAGCTCAGTTGGCACCACAACCACAAACATCCCCTCCCTCCGTCACCAATGCTTAGTGGCTCCTTAGACACACCTTCCAAATCAGTGACCATTACATTCTAAAAGGACAAGAGCAGTGGATACATGGGAACGCCATCACTTGCAAGTTCCCCTCCAGACCAGTCACCATTCTGACTTGGAAATACATCACTATTCCTTCAGTGATGTTAGGTCAAAATCCTGGAATTCCCTCCTTAATGGCACTACCTACAACACATGAACTGCAGCAGTTCAAGAAGGCAGCTCACAACCACCTTAAGGGCAACTATGCGTTGGGAACAAATGCAGGCCCAGGCAGTGGTGCTAACAACCAATGAGTGAATATTTTTCTTAAAAAAACAAGTGAGGATGAGGTCAACTATGTTATTCTCTTGTTGGTTTGATCATCATTTGCCACAGACCCGTTTAGCAGCTATGTTATTCAGATTTGACCACCCCAGTCAGTACTGGTATTACTGGGCCATTATTGGTGGTGGTCATTGAACCCCCTCACCAAGAGCGCATTTTATACTCTTGCCACCCGACTACTTCCTCGAAGTGGGGTTTAACATGTAGAGTACTGATTCATCAGCCGAGAGAGAACATTATGTGGCAATCAGCAGGAGGTTTGTTAGCCCACGTTTGACCCAATGTTGAGAGATCCAGAGTCAATTTTGAGTACTCCAGGACACCTCCCTCCCACCTATGGTAATGTTCCACAATCTCTGCTGCGTCTACCCTGCCTGTGAGACAAGACTTACCCAGTGACACTGTATAAAACA